TTTTTTTTCTTTTGAGATAGAGTTTTGTTCTTGTTGCCCAGGCTGGAATACAATGGCACGATCTCGGCTCTCTGAAACCTCCACTTCCCAGATTTAGGTGATTCTCCTGCCACAGCTTCCTGAGTAGCTGGGACTACAGGCATGCACCACAACCCCTGGCTAATTTTTGCATTTTTAGTAGAGACAGGGTTTCTCCATGTTGGCCAGGCTGATCTCGAACTCCTGACCTCAGGTGATCCACCCACCCGGCCTGTCAAAGTATTGGGATTACACCCATGAGCCACTGCAGCCGGCTTTTTTATTTATTTATTTATTTTAGACTGAGTTTCGCGCTTGTTGCCCAGGCTGGAGTGCAAAGGCACAGTCTTGGCTCACTGTGACCTCTGCCTCCTGGGTTCAAGGATTCCCCTGACTCAGCCTCCCAAGTAGCTGGGATTACAAGCATGAGCCACCATGCCTGGCTAATTTTTTTGTATTTTTAGTAGAGATGGGGTTTCACCATGTTGGCCAGGCTGGTCTCAAACTCCTGACCTCAAATAATCTGCCTACCTCAGCCTCCCAAAGTGCTGGGATTACAGACGTGAGCCGCCTTGCCCAGCTCTTTATTACTTCTATAACTAAAAAAAGAAACACATGATTTAAACATATTTAAAAGTTTTCTTCTGAAAATATAGGATCTTCTCAATTTCGCACTTTGTGGTTCTTTATTTTTGAATTCTATTCAATTTGGTTCAACAAATATTTGTTGTGCACTTACACTACTTGGTCCTGTGGTTCAAAGATTTGTGAAAGACTATCTGACCTGTCTGAAAATTCCTACACTAGCCAAGGAGATTGAAGAGATGGGAATTGAAGAGTCTATTGACCATAAAAACTGCTATAAATAAAATATGGCAGCCTAGAGGAAGGATCAATAAAAGCTTCAGAGAAGTGAATTCCATTTTAGAGTTGAGCCTTGAAGATTGAGTGAGATTTCACCACTCAGAAAAGGGGAGAGAAGGTCATTTCAGAAGCAGGGTCTGCAGGGAGGAATAGAGGTGTTTATACTTGTTCCTGAAATGAGGAGCAGGCCTTAAGCCTGCAGAACAGAGTTTGGGCAGGTAGAGGATGAATTGGTGCAGGCAGAATTTGTTGGCAGCAAAACTAATTAGTAGGTCATTATGATGGTCCTTGAGAAATGATAAGGAATCATTAAGGAACCAGCAGCAAAAATGGAGAGTAGGGAACCAGTCAAAAGACCTTCTGGAGCTAGAGTTGACAGGATTGTATTTGAGGGAATCAGGGGAGAGGTATATCAGGAAGGGGACCCAGGTTTTAGCTTGGATTTGGGAGGATTAGGGGTAACACCAAAGGAGAATCAGGTTGAGGGGATTTCTGAAAGAGAGGTAAAAAAGTGGAGATGAGAGAGTTAATTCATTCTCATTTTTAAAGTGTACCTTTTGGCCCTATGTGGTGGCTCAAGCCTGTAATCTCAGCACTGTGGGCTCCATTCAATGCAGTGAGCCAAGATTGGGCCACTGCACTTCAGCCTAGGTGACAGAGCGAGACTCCGTCTCAAAAATAAAATAAAATAAGACAAAATAAAAATAAATAAATAAGACTGTCCTAAATAGGAGAGGTTGGTCTTTTGAAATAGAATAAGGAATCAAGTGGATTATTTGATTTAATAAATAAGTTTAACATAAACTAGAGATGAAAAGGCCTACATAAAGTATTGTTGGCATTTAGATTTAATGAGCAATTATACCTTTTTAAATTTTATAAATCTTTTTGTCTGATCTCAAAGCACTTAATAAATAGGAACTCATTAAAAACATACCATCACTGAGCTGAGTGTGGTGGCTCATGCCTGTAATCCCAGCACTTTGGGAGGCCGAGGTGGGTGGATCATGAGGTCAAGAGATACAGACCATCCTGGCCAACATGGTGAAACCCCATCTCTACTAAAAATACAAAAATTAGATGGGCATGGTGGTGTACACCTGTAGTCCCAGCTACTCGGGAGCCTGAGGCAGGAGAATTGCTTGAACCTGGGAGGTGGAAGTTGCACTGAGCTGAGATTGGGCCACTGTACTCTAGCCTGGTGACTCTAGCCGTCTCAGGAAAAAAAAAATACCATCGCTATGATGTAGTTATAAGTAAACAGGTTCATATTTTCAGATGGAGAAGATGAGGTCAATCCAATAATACAATGTGAGTTATTGATTAGTGTGGACATAGAAACAGAAGGTAGTTTTCCTGGACACCTAAAACTCTGCTCCATTCAATAGCCTATTGGTTAGAAGTAAACACTCTTTTTTTTAAAGAGATGGAATCTTGTGTTACTTGAAGCCAGGAATTTGAGACCAGCTTGTTTGCTGGTCTCAGCAGTGTTGCTCAGGCTGGTCTCTAACTCCTGGCCTTAAGTAATCCTCCCACCTGAGCCTCCCAAAGTGCTGGAATTATAGGCTTGAGCCACCACACCTTGCCTCATTTGTTACAATTAATGACCCAATGTTGATACATTATTCTTAACTAAAGCCCACACTTTGTCCATATTTCCTTAGTTTTAATCTAATGTCCTTTTTCTGTTCCAGCATCCAGGATATCACATTACATTTAGTTATCATGTCTGTTAGGCTTTTTTTTTTTTTTTTTTTTTTTTTGGAGTTGGAGTCTCACTGTCACCCAGGCTGGGGTACAGTGGCACGATCTCAGCTCACTGCAACCTCTGCCTTCTGGGTTCAAGTGATTCTCCTGCCTCAGCCACCTGAGTAGTTGGAATTACAGGCCCACGCAACTATGCCTGGCTAATTTTTGTATTTTTGGTAGAGATGTGGTTTTGCCATATTGGCCAGGCTAGTTTCAAACTCCTGACCTCAAGTGATCTGCCCGCCTCGGCCTCCCAAAGTGCTGGGATTACCGGCATGAGCCACGGCGCCCAGCCCTCTTACACTCTTTTTGACTGTGACAGTTTCTCAGACTTTCCTTGTTTTTGATGACCTTTACAATAATGAAAAGTACTTAATGGGTATTTTGTAGACTGCCCTTGATTGGGATTTGTCTAATGTTTTTCTGATGGTTAGCCAGGGATTATGGGTTTTGGCAGGAAGACCACAGAGGTAAAGTACCATTTTCATCACATCATATCGGGGATACATTAGCATCTGGTTGAGGTACTGTATGCCATTTTTTGCACCCTAAAGTTACTTCTTCCCCCCACCCCCTCTTTCCATCCTATACTCTTTGGAAGAAAGTTACTATGCATACCCACACTTAAAGAGTAAACCATTGTATTTCACCTCCATGAGGGAGGAGTATGTTCATAAAGTATTTATATTTCCTGCAGGAGAGATTTGTCTATTCTCTCCTCATTATTTATTTAATCATTTACTTACATCAGTATTGACTCATGGATAATTCTTACATATGTGTGTGTTTGTGTGCATGCAAATATATAATCGATGTGCTTTCTTTGCCCAATAATATGTTGTGGACAACTTTCAAACTCAATAAATACAGATGACCTTCAGAACTTTTAGAAGTTATAAAGTAAGTATTTAATCAGTCCTCTACTGATTAAATAAAGGTACATCATACTTCCGAATTTTCCTTATTTCCAACAATACTGGGGTAACATCTTCATACATTCATTTTTGTGCACTTATGTGCCTATTCCTGAGTTTACTATTTTGCCCCCATTTCTAAGGCAGATTACACTTGACCTGTGTTCCCCATTCCACAACCAAGCACGCCTTGCTTTCCTTAGTTTATGCTATCTTCTCTACCTGGAATGCTCTTTTTCCTTGACCTACTGAAGTCGTATGTATGAATCAGGGCTTCGGCCAAAGGCTGCTTGCTGTAGAGGCTCTTCTACAGTGTTCTGGAGAGAATTTTAAGGGACTATCTCACCTCTCTCTTTTGTACATGTATTATAACACATCATCTGAGCCTCCTAGTCTCTCCCAGGACTCTCTTTCCTACCAGTTTATGAACCGATAGAGGCAGAATGTGATCGATCGCACTCATCCGTGTACTCTACCACAGAGGTGGGCACATCAAGTAACTAGCATATTCTGACTTTGATTGAAGCGAAGAATCCGAATAACAGAAATTAAGAAGCATCCTCAATATTGCATAGCAGGTTACTCTTCCTTCCTTTTACATAGGATGGCACTCCATGCTTCAGGGAGACAGAGGAGTTGAATACAGGTTTTAGTTTTTGTTTAAAGTGAAAACGACTGTGATGTACTTGAAAAGTAATGCTTTCTAGCTGTCTGTTAAAAATATTAGTTGGTTGAAGATTTTGGAATTGCAGTGCAATGAAGACTGAAAATAAGCATCTTCGGTGTGCCAAATATTCATAAGGAAATTGTATACGAATGCAAGAGAATGGAACTGAAGTAATAAAATAAGGCCTCTGATCCTTCAGACGACTTCTTTAAGAAGCCAGGTGGCATAAAGAATCTTACATACTATAATTAGTACTGAGAGGTGAATGCCAAAACATAACACAAACACAATCGAGACAATGTTACTGTGACTGTGACGCTGTGTCGGTGAGTTGAGGCTAGAGTATTGCTCTCCTGAAGGCCCACCGAGCCCGCACCTAAGAGACGCGCCCCTTCTGCCCATGCTTTGAGGCGGGGTGACCCACACATCTGTGCCCCTCTCTGAGCGGGAGGAGGCCCCGTCGCAGACGCGCGCGCAGACGGCGTCTGCAGCAGGCACCTGGGGCCGCGCGCCGCGGGGCGCCCCGCCTCCGCTCTCCGAGGCCCAATCATCGGGAGGCTGTGGGGGCACGTCCCGCTCCCGGCCACGCCCCCAACCGGCGGGGTGGGGGGTGCTTTTAAGAACCGGCGACTGGCCGTGGGCTCAGTCGGGGGTGCGGGGCTGTGACCCGGAGGCTTCGGTGGCGATCCTCGAGGCGTTCGCGCGCGCCAGCTGTCCTCGCGGCCGCCTGCGCGCTGCCCGCCCGCCCGCCAGGGGCTCCGCCGCCCTCGCCTCGGCCTCGTTAGCCCGCCAGGAGTCCCGCAGCTCCTCCGGGAGCCCGCTGGTAACTCGCGTCCCTAGCGCTCCTCCGGCGCCTGAGGGGGCCGCCTCGGGCCATGGTGCTCTCCCAGGAGGAGCCGGACTCCGCGCGGGGCACAAGCGAGGCGCAGCCGCTCGGCCCCGCGCCCACGGGGGTCGCTCCGCCGCCCGGCCCGGGACCCTCGGACAGCCCCGAGGCTGCTGTCGAGAAGGTGGAGGTGGAGCTGGCGGGGCCGGCGGACGCGGAGCCCCATGAGCCTCCTGAGCCCCCCGAGGGCGGCTGGGGCTGGCTGGTGATGCTGGCGGCCATGTGGTGCAACGGGTCGGTGTTCGGCATCCAGAACGCTTGCGGGGTGCTCTTCGTGTCCATGCTGAAAACCTTCGGCTCCAAAGACGATGACAAGATGGTCTTTAAGACAGGTGAGGCGCGGCGCCCGCCAAGACCAGCCTGGGGGACCCGCATGGGGCCCCCGAGCGCATCCCGCGTGTGGGCTGTGTCTGCCTCCGAGTGTGCATGTCGGTGGGTCCTCGTGCCAGAGGGTGCGAGCGGGGGGGGGGTCTGTCGAGTTGCAGACAGAGCCTGCCGCTTCTGGGGCCTCGGGGTGCCTGTCTTTATGTGGAATCCAGCTGCAGAGCTGTGTGTTTGCAAGCAGGTTGCAGAACTTACTTGCCGAGATCGTCCTCCTTTCCCCTCGGCAGAGTAGACACTAACAGTCCACAGGAATCCTTCCTTTTAATGTTTGAAAACAAACAGAACCCCAGAACCTTCAACCCCACACATCGCCCTGTCATTTTTGTGGTCTCTTTCGTGACTATGCCAGTTGTGTAGTTCTTCATCTGCCTTCCTGGGCCGCAGAGGGGTGTGCGTATGTTGGCGGGGCGGGGGGTGGAGTTTGGAGGAATGAAAGAGATTTGTACGAAGGTCACTGGAGTTCCGAAGGGGGCCCTGCAAGAGTCAGGGTTCCGTGCCTTCCCGCCCCCCCCCCCACCCTTTTTTTGCCCTCTGGGCTAAATGTAGAAAACACGGGACAGCCGGATTAGGGACTGGGATGAGGAAGGTGAGGGGTTGCTTCTTCCCTCCTCCTGTTGTGTTTTTTGACATTTTTTTAACCATATAGTAAATTAGATACAAATGGTGCAGATTCAGCATTTTCTCCCTGTAGAGCATTATTATGACTTTTTGGCTGATTAGGCAAAAAACAAGTCTAAGACCTTCTGCATGACACTTTAACATAAATTATTTCACTTTATCCTGCAAGGTGAGCATGGTCAATCCCATTTAGATGAGAAAACTGTAGCTCAGTGAAAGTGTCTTGGTGGGTAGTAGAATGGCAATAAAACACATATCAACTGACTTCAAGGGCTAAGTGATTTCCATTACTGAATCAACCTCCCTCCCCGTCATTTGGGGCAACTTTATATGATTAATAGTCTTTTTTTTTTTTTAACCTTGATTTTCTATTATTTTTAGAGCGAATATTCCTTAGGTCTTTAAGTATGCATATAAGAAATGGGCAAGACTGTAATAAATTCTAAGACAAAAGTAATGCTGGGTTATGTTGAGAGTTTTAAAACCATATATAAATACTATTATACTATTTGCATCATTCTGCAACTTACTTTTCTTCCATTCCGCATCATGTTTGTGACTTATCTACATAATACCTCAGTGTGAACTGATAACTCAAATTCTTTCCATTTTAACTTACATGGTTTGCATTGTTTGACTGTATTATACTCTATGCATTCTCCCTTTGATAGGCATTTAGATTGTTTCCAAACTCATTCTAAACAATGCTGCAATGAATATGCCTGTATACTGTCTCTTTATGCATGTGAATACGGTCCATATTTAACCTGGAATTTCTGTTCTTTAAATAGCTATTGAAACTGCTGTGGTATGCAGGTCAATGGGCTAGGTACAAAAAGTGTTAAAAATGTAGTAACATGTACTTAACCATTTAAGGAAGGTAATCATGGTAAAGTTTAGCAGGGGAGATATGCATATATAATAGTAAACAAAAGTAGTTTGGTGTCTTTTCTATGTGAGTATTGGGTGTCAGAGAGAAAAGCCCCAAAAAAGGCAGAATTGACAGAGTTAACATTTAAAGACTAGTTCCAACATTTACCATATTCCTGCCTGGGATTACAGATTTTTAATGCCGTCAAGACAACAGCAGTCGTTTGTTTATCATCATTTTTGCAAGTTCAGTTAAGTAGATCCTTTGGTGTCTGTGGGTGTTTTTTGTTTTTTTGTTTTTTTTTGAGAGAGGGTGAGCAATTGCCAGAGAGAGACCATAGCTTTGCCAGGGATCAGAATTTTGCAGTGTCAAAGTCTCTACCTACTACTTGTCCCCAAAGTTCCAATTGGCTACAATATCCCAATACTGGGTAGCTGAAAGTGAGGGAAGGAACCTAGTTTTTCTTTTGCACTCTGTGAAACTTTGTGTTTACCATTTTGATGAATATCTTCTTTTTATTCAGTTCAGTCTTTGACAATTCTTATAGTCTTGTTTGTGTATGCGTGGTTATATATCATACAATCAGTTGTACAGGTGTGCTAGTTAAATGTGTGAAGATCTTTGTGCTTCTCTGCCTGACTGCTGTATATCTACATCTGGTTGTGCCATTGCACAAGGGTGCCAAACTAAGTGGGGACTGAAAACCAGCCTGGGCTCTGGGTGCCCTTTGTCTGATTCCTACAGAAGGGCCCTCTGCACTTGTAATGGTCCTGTATAACACAGCATCTAGATTGAACAATGGCCATTACTTGGGTGCTAGGTAATACATATATGACTGATAGATGTTAAGGGCTGAGGAAGAAAACATTTAAACTTAGTGCTGAAAAAATGATTACAAGATAGTCTTTAAGCCAGTTATTGTTGAGATCTCTCTCTCTTCCCCTGTCCCCTACCCCTTTCTCTTTCCCTCAGTGCACAGACACACACAAAGGTGTTTCATAAAGTCCCTCATCTACCACAGGCACTATTTGAGAATATCTGCTTTGAAGTTTGATTGTTCACGCTTTTTCACTTTGATATTCGAATGCTGAGTCATCTGTGATCAAGCATATGCAAGCTTCAAATACATGCCAAGAAATATCTGGAATTTGTTTAAGCCTTTTATTTTTCAAAGTTTTGGTCTATTTCCTATTACCGTACTCATGATTGATAATGCTGGTGTTAGAGTACAGCTAGTTCTGTCTCCTTGTTTCCATTACCTTCTTTACAGCAAGTGATTAGCCTAAGGATATACAGGGAGGTGGTGGTGGAATGGAATCTAGGTCTCCAAATGATGGTGCACATTTCTTCAGTACTTTCCTGTGGCTAAGCACTTTAAATGCGTTCCTATTTAAACCTTACTACAATTCTCTGATAGACTTTGTTAATATCTTCCTTTTCAGATTTGGGAACTCAGGCTTACAGAGTTTAAGTAAGAAGTGGAGCCAGAATTCAACCCCAGGCTTATCTGACTCTAAGAGCTAGGATTTTTATTTTATTTATTTATTTATTTAAAATACGGAATACTCCATGAATTTGCATGTCATCCTTGTGCAGGGGTCACGCTAATCTTCTCTGTGTCATTCCAATTTTAGTAAATTGTTGTTCAAAGTGCTGCTGAAGCAAGCACCAGGAGTTGGGTTTTAATCATTCAACATATTGCATTGACTAGATAACATTCTGCAAATACGATGTTCTTTATGTTGTTGATTAATTTAAGTGTTAGTGATTGGTTGAGTGCTCTATCACACATTCTGGGATTAGAAAGAAGGGTCCTTGTTTCTTGGTCTTACTTTGTGGTGAATAAACAATTGCAAATTATTAATATCTTGAACTATGTTTCTGAAGTGTAGAGAGACTTCCATAGAGGAACAAGACACTTCCATGTGCTGTTCAAGCAAAAGTCTGGGGTTTCCTTTGGAGAACCATTCTCTTTTAGATTGATCCACAGCAGGACAATGTTTCTAGGCAGAACTGAGGAGGAGCCTTTCTTAGGCTCACTTCTCTTCAGGGGTCTGTTAACTCTTCCCACGCAATGGATAATGTACCCAAAATTTCTCAGGAAAGGGCTTGAAGAAGTTCATTCACACTAAGTATAAGTGAGTTTACACATCTTACTGTTAATTCTCTTTCTACAGATGTTTACCAAGTTATCTAACACGCTCTGTTTTGGGCTCTGTCCTGGGCACTGGAGATAATGACTGAGAGAGGAAATGTCAGCTGTTTCCAAGTAGCTTAGGATCTGTTGTGGGATACAAATTAATAACAGACCAGAAGTAATAGAATATTTCCCTGAAGGATTTTCAATATAACAGGACTCAATTTTATTATAAAATGCTGAAATTCTAAGGTCATTTCAACAGGTGGTGGGGGTGGGGAAGGCATTTGATGCCTCTTTCTCTATGGTTATAAATCTTACTTGGTGAAATTAAGACTTTGGAAAGGGGAAGTAAGCTGACTCCAAGTTGGGCAGTACAACTATTGAAAAATGCTGACGGCATCACAGTCCCATTATGGTGCCCAGCAAGCTGCCGATGACATGGCACTCAGAGGAGTGTCTCACATCCTGCTGTGTCTGAGGGAGCAAGCTGAACTTGAGTTGTCTCTTTTTTTTTTTTTTTTTTTTGAGACAGACTCTCGCTCTGTTGCCCAGGCTGGGGTACGGTGGCGCCATCTCGGCTCACTGCAACCACAGCCTCCCGGATTCAAGCAATTCTTCTGCCTCAGCCTTCTGAGTAGCTGGGACTACAGGTGCGTGCCACCACACCTGGCTAATTTTTGTACTTTTAGTAGAGACGGGGTTTCACCACATCGGTCAGGCTGGTCTCAAACTCCTGACATCGTAATCCGCCTGCCTCGGCCTCCCAAAGTGCTGGGATTACAGGCATGAGTTGTCTCTTTTTACTTGAATTTTTACCTGTTCACATGTGCATGCTTCTTGCTTAGGTAAGAGGAATCAAATGCTTTGGGGAAGAATAAAAGGAAATACAATTAAGTGGAACATTGTTTTTCCTTAGAAAGTGTAATTTTGGGCTGGGCGCAGTGGCTCACGTCTGTAATCCCAGCACTTTGGGAGGCCGAGGCAGATGGATCACCTGAGGTCAGGAGTTCGAGACCAGCCTGGCCAACATGGTGAAACCCCGTTTCTACTAAAAATACAAAAAATTGGCTGGGCATGGTGGCGGATGCCTGTAATCCCAGCTACTCAGGAGGCTGAGGCAGGAGAATCGCTTGAACCTGGGAGGCAGAGGTTGTAGTGAGCTGAGATGGCGCCACTGTACTCCAGCCTGGGCAATAAGAGTGAAACTCCATCTCAAAAAAAAGAAAAGGAAAAAAGAAAATGCAACTTTGTTTTAACTCTGCTAGATACTGGAAAACCCATGGAACTAATGAGCCTAGGGTTTTTTGTTTGTTTTGTTT